TTGAATTTGCATAATTTCATTTACTTGAGTGTTTGAGTCGTTTAATTAGAGAAATTTCGAAATTAGGGTTTCTAATTGAAAAATTAGGGTTTTTAGTTGAAATTAGGGTTTTTAATTGAAATTAGGGCTTTTTGCATTTAAACCATATTTTCACTCAATTAGATTCGGTTAAAGCTAAATCATATAGAATTGAACTACTCAATTTCTGAGGGACGATATTCAGACTTTTTACAATCCACTTTATTACTTGTTACGAACCGTACACTTGCGGTAGTTTTAAATCGAAAGAATTATTTCGTGAACAGCAAGCTATCCTATCTTACTTTGATTTCAAAATTCGATATATACAAGGTAAATCAAACTATCAATTCTATATATACAAGGTAAATCAAACTATCTTACAGATTTTTTAACAAGAGAGTTTCTGCAATAAAAAACTTCTTACGTAAAATATTTCTAAGGTATCAAAATGAATTTTTCTTCCTCCTCAAAGAAGAAGAATAAGAAAAAGACAACATTGCCTTTACTCTCAATTGACAACATTGCCTTTACTCTCAATTGACGATTATATTCAAAATTCTCATGAATCTTCTTCTAATTCTCAAAAATCCACTCTTGCTTCAAAAATTCTTTTCCAAAATACCCCTAACAAGAAAAGTGCATTAGAAATTAAACTTTCAAATTTCAACGTCAAGATTTGGAAAATTACCAAATATCAATCCTCAAAAAACATTTCATTACCATTCCAAACCAATTGAATATCCTGTTTTTGAAATAGAAGCCTCATGAACCCATAGATATTCATCTGTTGATGAATGTCTTCAAGATATTTTCCCCCCTCAATTCCATTTCATTCCAAGAAATATAAAAAAGACCAGAGTTTATTATGAAGATATCCTAATCAAATCAGGATCGACCATAATAACTCACACCCCAAACTCTCAAAACTAAATTATATTGATTTCTCAAAAATTTCAATTCAAAGGATATTGTCATATGAAGATTGGGGACAGCACCCGTAAGAAGAAAAGAGAATAAAATTATCAAAAGATGACACATTTGAATCTCGTTTAATTATTTTGACCATAAAGATGCCTAGTTCAATTTTTATTTTTTTATTATTTTAGACCAATAACACACTCTTGGTTTAACCTTTTTATCAGGCATGTTCTACAAATTTTTCAAAATGGTTTCAAATTTGGTTAGATTATGTTGGAATGGACAAATCAATTTTGCCCAATCCTACTCATCAAAGGTTCGAACAATTCAAGAATGTGGCAAAAACGATTTTGAATTCTCAAGAAAATCTTTTATTTTAATTCGCTCTTAATCTAAAAGTTTCGTGGATTTTCTGTTGGGGTTTCCACATTATTCAAAAGACATAATCTAATTTCAGTGTCAAAAAGATTATTAGAAGATTCAAAATCAAATGGTGGCCAAAATTTTGTGAGACTAACTGCTCTCCTAAAGCTCTTAGCTCATGGATTCAAAAACAAAGAAATAATAGCATCCCAAAGCTTTCCAAAAAGGATCGAGAAAAACATGTTGATTTCCTTATGGAAAAATCAAAGCCTCTTTCCATGCTCAATCAATGCAAGACTCTGGAAGAATTGACAATTATATCAGAAAAATTGCCATTCTATCCGAAGCTTCATCAAAGAAGTCAAAATCTGCTGATGACTTTCTCAATCAGGGTATATATAAGACTAGTGTGCCTTTCACAACCAAGTAGGTTCAAATTGGTGTGCACTCGTCATTCTTCTTGTTGTCATGCATCATGTGAGATTTTTTTTTTTATAACCATGATCAATTTCATAGTCATTCTCAATTTCAAAATATGATAATGTAGGTCCGAATTGTCGGGCAAGTACATTCCCGTGTCAAACTCTCCTCCATAACATAGTTGAGCTTTTAGCTTAATAATTCACATATAATTGACAATCTTACAATAGGAGTACACAAGCGAAGTCAGAAACCCTAAAATCCTTTTTCATATCATTCCAAACCTAACCTACATTCCCAACTCTAACAACTACTGGTTAGCCAACTACAGAAAACCATCATAAAAAACTTATCTTTTAATCAATTCCATGAAAAATCACTTAGGGAATTAGGTACTATTTTCATCATCATTTACTCGAGCCTTGAAGTGATTAAGACGGCTATCTCCTAGTCGTAGCGAATATGCAGCCTTCTTGTACTCAGCCCAGGTGAAGCTTCTGTAAAGAGGAGGTTTCTGTGGTGTTAATAGTACTGGTAGGCAACTTATTGTGGCATCAAGGGGTGGAGCTGTAAAATATGCCATTGACATTCTAGACTTGTATGAGTTCACCATAACCCTGTGTCTTACACTCAAAAACCTTCCATTTGTCATAACCTTCAAGAAAATGCACATCACATGACATTAGTCCACAAAAATTAGTCAGCAAATTAAGGCAAAATCTTAGAATCTTAAGCTATGTAATAAGTTATTTATCTTAATGATGTTACTAATTAAGCTCAGACATAAGCAAAATGAAATCAGAAATACACGTGTGCAAGTACACAAATTTGTGGTGGTTCTCTAAAAATGTGAAAACTATACCAACTCGATGCTGTAGGATAAAAAATGGTCCCCTAAATAGTTCTATACATACACAGTAATATTAGGTAATCTGAGGATAATTATATCGACTCTATTAACTCTTAACATATTTTGATTAAAAAAAAAAAAGTCTCATATATGCATATATGATTCATTTACCCTTTTTCAATATAATAATATTACACATAAACTCAAAAATTTTCCTTATTTTTTAACCATATATTCTCCGTCAATATATTCTTACAAAATGCATTCTACACCAAAAATGAGGTTCAAAAACGCACCTGATGTATGGACTTTTGTCATTTGGTTGGCTGTACGGAAATTCTAAATAGTGGTAATCAACATGCATGAGAAGTTAAAATGTTGAACACAATCTTGAAAGCAATTTTGACCCATAAAACATTTTTGCCAAATAAAAGTTGCTTCATAAGATAAGAGGTTCTGAGGCTTAGTCATTGGACGAAAGCTAAACGGAGGGTCAACTCGAATTCCAGATGATCAGACTGGTCAATTCTATCAGATCAGTTCAATGCACTGAGACTCTGAAAGTTGCATCCATCAACTGGATTACAACACGTTTCAGTGCTGGCCCAGGAGCAGTTTGCCTGTGTATGTATATCTGTGCATATATTCAATCGTTCATAAAGACATGGTTATGATAACCATGCATGACCGAAGGAAAAACCCAAAAAGAAAGATGGGACCCACCTGCAACACGTCACCAACATTAATAAAGAAGGCTGAAACTGGGTGGGGGTTGACTGGGACCCACACCCCATCATCCAGTGAGATTTGGAGGCCACCTACACCGTTGGATCTCAAGAGGGTCAAGATCTGAGGGTCGGTATGTTCTCCAAACCCAATAGAGGTGGGTGACGCGGCACCATCATCAACCTTTGGATAATGATTGAATCTGAGGAGCGAGTCACATTCAACGTCTCTGATTAGCCTACTGAGTACAGAGGGGCCAGGTGACCCTAACCCTACTTCCATCAGCTCCAATATTTCACATGCCAACTTCCTAACTGCTTCTACATAACCCCTCACTGCAGAGCTGTCCCAAATCCAATGCACAAAAAATTGAGTTAATTACATTTTTTAATGAGTTCAGACATTAATCATAGGAAAATACCATTT